AAAAAATCAGATCCCAATTTTACCGTTGTAGATTCAGTCGGATGTTTATCATGCTGAGGTTCTTCTTTGACTTCCACTTCTCCGAAAGTAAAATGCTGCTCATCTTGTTCATGCAATTTCATCTCAAAACTTGCATTTTCGTTTTCGAGAGAAAGGGGGCTTTGATGAGAAGTAGCCTGTTAGAGTTTAGAAAGAGATTACTAAGTTAATGAGAGCATCTAACTCACTGGTTCATCGTTATTAACTTCAACTTCCATAGGCAGTCCTTTATAGTATTTCATCAACAGTTCTTCGCCAGGTGTCAAAAATATCCGTTTAGGAAATTTCAAATCGCCAACGGAAAAATGTGCTGCATTTTTCCGGAGAAATCTAAACAAACCTTTGCACTGCAAGGAAAGATTCAAGCAGAAATTACAGAACGTACCTCTTCCTCTTTGCACCCACACAATTTATTGCACCACTTTTTAGTAAAATTTTTGCGCGCACATGATCAAAATGATTTCTTATTTTCTTTTCCGTTACATGGAATCCGAAGAATTCTTCCAAATCGGCAATAAGTCTTTTCATCGCTACTGCTCTCATAGTGTTCGCTTCCAGTGTTCGCACATTGGTATTGTTAATGAGCACATCAGCGTGGCGCATGTAGAACTCAATGATGTATTTGGACACTCCTTCAGGGATTCTATTGAATGGTTTCATGGTCTCTGAAACCATTAAGCCATATAAAGGTAGAACTCATGATAATTGAAAGAATAAAATAACGTATTTAAGGCGTTTCGAAAGTACAGATCAAAAGCAGCTTTAGGAGTGTTACGTCTATGCCAATGTTGTGATGCTTCGAGCATGTGAATGAGGTGATAGCTGACATAGAAAGAGGGGCCAAAAAAGATTATTACACATAATACAAATTTGGATCCAGGAAACTTTGGTAATCAAAGGATTACCATTTCAACATCATTTATGCCATGCGCCACTATCCCAATCATCTCAACGGCTCAAGAGATCCCTAAAAGCAGGCCTAGTTTAATAAAACCCAAGACGTCTCCGCTCCTTTCTACGAACAATTTGGACAGTAATGCAAACTCAGAGACGCTTTTAATTCCTTTACTATTCAAGGTAACTGGACATATGCACAGCTTTCAAATCGGCTCAGAAACAATGATCTATGATATTTTCAGGATAGTGTGGACCTAAGTGAATACTCAGATAACGGATGGGTGATAGCATTTTCCCAATACCACTGCATGTTGCCAAAATTTGATTATCTCTATCACCTATTACATATTACCTAGCATATATGTACAACGCGGTTAAACCTGCACTTTTACGTAAAAGTGATTTCTTTCAAAAATTCAATCCAAGTCAAGCGCGAACGGGGTTCTTTTGCTCTTTATCGTACTAATTACATTGTGTTTTGTTCGCTTTTTCCATTAGAACACTATTGTTTTTTAAAAATAATCCAAGATTTGAATTTGTAACTACTAACAAGCAAGATGCTGTACAAACTTGAAGCCACTAATTCCAAAGTTATATGATTGATAGATCTCTAAGCGTCGTTTTAAAAAGTGAGATTAGATAGAAAATATTTCATCAATCTTGTACACAGCAACTCTATGCATCATTTACGGGGCTCAATTTGCTTACTTTCTTTGGTGTCAGGTGACTTCTAAAACAAGAAGACGATAGAGATAAACTTTGTTTTAGACTGGTTTTTTTTGCGGAACGCTTCTAAAAGAACAGGGCAGTGAAAAAGGTGCCTCTCTGTTGTAAATGCTTTAAGGTCACTCATGGTTTTGACCTCTACACGACAAGGCGCAATATTTGAGACTTTAAGAGAACAAAAGGAAAGGTCTATTTCCTCAACTTAGGATTCTTCTCACCAAATCCGCAAAAGTTTTCTTTAGCTGTTACTAGATTCTTTTTCATTTACGAGACTTGCGAGAATCAGCGCTCTTGCCCCTCTAATACATCTGGAACCTATTGCGAACGGAGATGAGATGATGGTTGGTTCGGATTGCGACCATACGATGGGATCGATCGATCATTCAAGAAATCAATACTTGTTAGTGATCACTATGGATTGGGAGGACTTTTGAAGTGGCAAAGACTTGCTTTAAAACTGTTCCTATCGTTTGTTACTGTTAACCTCACAAATGTCTAAATTGTCAGTTTCAATACTCTATTAATTTAAGCAAACAAAAATTATTAGATTTCGCTGTT